ACCACCTTCCAAATTATATCAAAAATATACAGTCCAACACGAGCTTCAGAAAAGCTGTAAAAAGAGTTCTTTCAAATAGAACCTATTATAGTTTGGAAGAATATTATGCGGATATAATAGACTAATAATAAATATACCAAAACTTTACATTTTGATATCACATACCTACTATTGTTTGTTATATTTTAAATTTTAAATGAGCGACTGATTGCTTTTTAACAGTTCAATTTTATAAAGTAGTGACTACGTATACTATGTATACTAAGTAAATAATTGTATGTTATTCATACAATTTAATTTAATTTATTTTATTTATACAGGCTTTGTCAACAAGATGTTATTCTTTGATAATAAAGCATACTTTGATTGATTGACAACGGCAAATATTCTATTTGGACGAAACTTGGTATGACACTCACGACACAATTACGAAAGGGTGGACTGATGGTTCGAGAATGTGTACGCCTGACATGTCTGCAAACAAAGAATCGCGATTCAATGTGCAATGCGAAGGAAGTAAAGGATGGGTTCCTATTCCTGAGAGAGAATGAGAGAACTGACAGTAACTTACTGGAACTACATCAAAAATTATAATGATAACGATGAAAATTGTATCAATCAACTTTCCCTTCAGAGTCAAAGATTATCAAATCATCATGCCCATTGAACAATGACATTTATGTGAAGGTATGACATTTGTCAAACCAAAAAAATCCATCAATGTTTAAATTTCTTTCGTCGATTTATATGTTCAATTCATTGTTTTTTACTCATTTTTACTGTAAGTATGATTTGTAATTTTATTCATTGGCAAAAAAACCCACAACCCAATAAATTATAGGCCCTGAAGAAGCTTCCCACTAGAAGCGAAAACCTGGCAGAGTTTCGATTTTTTGACTGAGAGACGCCGTTATTTCATATATTCCGTTCTTATAACGGGTGATTTTTTTGAGGTTAGGATTTTCATGCATTAGTATTTGACAGATCACGCGGGATTTCAGACATGGTGCAAAGAGAAAGATGCTCAGTATGCTTTGACATTTCATCATGAATAGACTTACTAACGAGCAACGCTTGCAAATCATTGAATTTTATTACCAAAATCAGTGTTCGGTTCGAAATGTGTTTCGCGCTTTACGCCCGATTTATGGTCTACATAATCGACCAAGTGAGCAAACAATTAAAGCGATTGTGACCAAGTTTCGCACTCAGTTTACTTTATTGGACATTAAACCAACCACACGAATGCGTACAGAAGAGAATATTGCGTCTGTTTCTGAGAGTGTTGCTGAAGACCGTGAAATGTCGATTCGTCGCCGTTCGCAGCAATTGGGTTTGTGTTATTCGACCACATGGAAGATTTTACGCAAAGATCTTGGTGTAAAACCGTATAAAATACAGCNGCTTGTATGTTATTTCCTTGTAATTTCAGTTTTTTGTTCTAATAAAATTGTTATTTTCGGTTATTCTTTTTATTTTTTTTTTCAGGGATTTCAAATCGATTTATATTATATTAGACAATGCAAGTCCGAACTGATGAAATACAAAGAGGAGAATATTGAATTTTTCAGATTATTTTCATTATATTTAATAGTATCCTCATCAGGTTCAAGATTAGGAATATTGTTAATGATATGATCATTTATAGTATCGCTCATAATAATACAATAAATGCGTGTTTTGTAATCAATTACCAGGCTTTCGTTGAATAACTACACCATTTTAGTGATTGTCACTCACTGTCATCATGCCTAATCTCAATAAAAAATTGAGGTACGAAGAAAATCATCAAAATTTCGATTGTACAGCCCAAGAACCGATAGCCTTAAAGGCTTTATTCATTCATGTTTACATGCACAATTATATGGGATTTTTTTCAACAAAATCACAACTTTCATGTAATGTATTAAATCATTAACGAAATTTGTAACAAATCAATGTTTTCCTACAGATACACCAGGAAAATATTCACTTCCGGATTCAAGAAGGATCTGGAAGATGATGACTTGTATGACATCATAAGGAATTGCAAATCAAGGAAGTGTGCAGATAAATTAGAACATTCCCTCAAACATGAAACAAGAAGGTCAAAACCATCAACATATAGAGCGCTGTGGAATTGCTACGGGATCAAATATATCTGTTTGGGAATAATAAGTTTGCTTATGCATCTTGTGGGAGAGTGAGTATACTTCAAGTTTTGTATACCATAGCATTCTATATTTACATACTACTGTTCGCCAACATATTTTTTCAATCTATACAGGGTGCTTCCTAATTGCGTTGAGAGCATGTGAGAACGTGTTCAGAAGATAATTTTATGAAAAAAGATAGTATTAGTATAGGCCCGGAAATGCATTGTTCCTAAGGTTCAGTGTATTATACTATTCAAAAAAAATGTTTTTCTGTATCGCCAAAATTCTCAGACTCACTTATGATTGGGTATTATTTCAAATAAAGAAGTGTAGTATTATTAAAGGATTGTGCGAGGGCATTGGCAAAACCCTTATTAAGGATTTTTAATCCATGTCTGATACCTGAACATTTCCAGATATTTGGAAATTAGCTCAAGTATGTCCTGTATACAAAAGTAGTGAATAAAACACATATAGAGAATTACAGACCCATATTTATTTTATGTATGTTTTCTAAAGTTTTTGAGATTACTTTATGTAATCGAATATATGTTTCCGTTCAAGGCTAGCTATCTCAACATCAACATGGATTTGTTACTAATCTTTCTACAGTTAAAACTCTAGTAATTATTAGTCTATTCATTTTTGAAGCATTAGATAACAATGGTTAAGTTGATGTAATATATACGAATTTCTCAAAGGCATTTGATAAAATTGATCATGGTGTTTTGCTCAATAAACTAATGGGTTTTGGTTTTTCGAATACTCCCTGTCAGCTGATGCAATTCTTTCTGACATGTAGAAAACAATTCGTATCTTATAAATATTATAAATCTAAAACATGTCTAGCTTCTTTCGATGTGCCTCAAGGCTCCTACCTAGGTCCTGTTTTGTTTTTATCACTCAATAATGATTTATGTGAAAGTTTAACTTGTGAGCGGTTATGTTCTGCTGATGACTTGAAGTTATTTTCTGAAATTATGGACGTAGACGATTGTGTGAATCTTCAATCTCGATTAGAATTTCTTATTGGCAGTAATAGATTGAAACTGAATGCAGAGAAATGTAAAGTTATAAGTTATAGTCGAAAAAAAGAAGTTTATACTGAAGACAAGGATCTACATCTGTCCTTGAAGGTAGTGAAAAAATACACGCATGCTATATCGGTATGGAATTCAGGATATGTAAATGTGCAACAGTCCATCTTTGAAGAGGACGATGCAGGGATTATGGAGAGGATGCTCGTAGCAGCGAAAAACTCTTTCCGCGGCAAGTATCAGCACAAACTCTGACATATCTGGTCATCGGAACTGTCGGGGAAGAACAAAGTTGCTGCAACAAATATGCTTGCCGTTCTAATCTTACTCTACTCTTTTGGAGCAGGGGAGTGGACTCGCGAGGAACTGTATCATCTCGACGTAAAGATGCATCTTCATAGGAGTTTGTTGTTATACTTTTATACTGTTTATACTGTTATACTTTGTTATACTTTTCCCGACAACAGGAAAGCCATGGACTTTTGAGTTTAGAGTGTCTACATAACAGAATGGTACTGGCTGGAACCCGTCTAGTCATCAGGTGTTCTGATTTCCTCCCTTGCATGGTACGTTACCATGAGAGAACAGGAACTGGAGTATTTGTCTTCTGAGCAGCTGCCTGAGAGGCTGATGAACTCGGTTCAGTTTTCGACACTGAACCAGGTAATCACAATTCTGTCACCAAATTAGAACCTGTTCAGCAAAGCACCCTCGCTTTCCTCAGGTCGAATGAGCTGAAGTCGGAAACTAAGGGGTTCATCTTGGCCTGCCGGGATGGTGTCTATAACATCTTAGTCTACCGCGGTTGCGTGATGAGTATTTGAGTTTCTAACACAAGATGTAGGGCCTCAGCTTATATCCATCGACCCAAAGAGTGTTCCATTAGTATGTATTGCTCTCTTACGGTATTGACGAAATGCCGGTATAGCTCTACGCTCCGGGGGATATTAAATCCCCATGATCACTTAGCCCACGTTTTGAAAAGTGGTCATTGGTTGAGAATGCTGGAGCACCCTCTCGACTGGGTCGGAGCTTCGAGAACAGGGCCCGATAATAATCGGCTTTATTCGTCACGAACGATACAGTGTATCTCATTTGTATTTACATTAATTGAAGAAGACCTAATGACGAAATAGCGTAGTGTCAGCTAATGCTGTTTTTCAAGTCAACCCCAAATTACTCGTTGATTTTTTGATAAATAGTTGTTTCTGTTTTCAATTTTTTCTGTAAAACAAGACGAACTTCGACACAAATCGAGTTATAAAAAAGTTTAATTTTTCGATGTTTTTCCCAACACAAAATGTTACGTCAATGGTGTACACTTTTGACTTAACTGTATCCCGAGCTGCCACTGGATACAAAAATTTCTATCTGATTAAGATAGAAGGAATATCTTATCACTGAAATTAGTACTATCGAATTTCACCAAAATCGAAAAAGGTATATTTACAAAATACAAAGAAGGATTCTAACATCCTGTATCTTGGAACCATGGCATTTCCGGACCAATGTTTATATGAACGCTTTTTTCATCAAAGCATAGCTTGAACAAGCTTCTACCGCAATTAGGAACTACCCTGTCCACAAGGTGGCCATTTTTTTATTCAATTCTATAGTATCTTGTGAACTATAGAAGAAACAAGGCCTATCAACAAAAGTGAACGTTCCATGTCTATTAGCACTATATGTAGGAGAAAACAAAACGAAAATATCAGGTCCCGTTCTGATTTTATTGGGAAAAAAAAAACAATAAGAAATTCCAATTTTTCTCCGAATCTGTCAGCTATGATTCAAAGTCCATCGTGGTATTATCCAGGAAGGCAGTTGTTTTTTGACATTTGTCATATCCTATATCATACTTCACTGACATGCGTCAGTATGTTATATTCAATGGCTTCATTTCTGTGGAATATGCAGCTACCTGGGGTGTTCCATAAGGAAGCAACCTAGGTCCACTTCTCTTCAACGCCTTCATAAACGACATAGTTGAGGTCATTGACGTCCACTGTTTGATAAACGCGGATGACCTGAAATTATATTGTGAGATCAATGGCATCGGGAACTGTCTTCAACTCTTCCTCAATCTGAAACGTGTTGAGTAATGGTGTTACTTTGAACGCGAGTTAATGTAATGTAATAACGTACACAAAAAAAATCGTCCATTTTCTTATCAATATTTTATAAACGATATCCCACTTCAACAGCCTCTCACATTCATCGATCTAGGTGTTACCTTCGACACAAAACTTTGCTTTTTACCATACATAGAAGCCACTTAATAACAGTATATAAATGAAATAAACTAATAAATGAATAAATATCCTACTTTTTTTGAGAGTCCTTAGACATTTCAACATTTTTCATAGTTCATAGTATTTTTCAAGATTATTCTTCAACCCAAATAAAATTTCTGGTTGATTCGACCAACGTAAAGGTGACATTCGGTTGACTAATAGTGAAAAAAATGAAGTATCGGTGTGACTTTATATTCTTCGTTTTTATTTGGCCATACTGTATAAAGTATAATCAATAATTTTCAGTTATTTGGAACCAGAAGCCATATCAAAACTGGTTGGGTATTTCAAACCAGGCCAGACCACAATGACTCTGTACGACGCCTTATTTTATGCTGGAATAATGTTGGGGCTCAAACTTTTGCATGCGTTCTACAGGAACAACTACTCCATATTTATGTCTCAGTTGGCGTTACAGATAAGAACAGCTTTCAGTTCTATCATTTACAGAAAAGTTTTGAAGCTCAGCCCGAAAGCACTAGAAAATACAAGCTTAGGTAGGCATGTCTTTTATATATATATATAT